AAATAATATAATCGTGATTTGCATCGTTATGAATTCGCAGCCGGTTCGAGAGCGCGAGCGCGCACGAGTCGCGGATAAAAAAAAAAAAAAAAAAAGAAAAANTTTCCTTCTTCTTCTTCTTTTTTTTTTTTTTTTTTTTGGATTTGGTGAAAATTTGACGAGGCAAAAGTTTGAAAATCAAAGCCCGGCGGAAGGTGTGAAACGTGAATCGATGATAAATTCATTCGATTGATCGATATTGTTTTATCGAACATTCTTGCGCTCTAGATCATGATCTAATTTATAATTTATAACATTTCCGTTGAACATTCTTTTGATATTGCGCTTGAATGATGAAATATATAAACTCCAAAATACAAATATATATATAAATGTATTATTATTGTTATTATTATTATTTATTATTATTATATAAATCTGTATACATAATATTAAATATTTATAATATGTATTTGCGTTTTGGAACTCGTATAATATTTTATCATACAAATACGATATAATATGATACAATATAATATTATATATATATATATATATATGTATAATACAATATAACATACAATACAAACACAATTCAGTTAAAAAAAAAAAAAAAAAAAAAAATGTTCAAAAACCAGAGTTGTCGTGAACGAAGTACATGCCCGGGCGTGCAGCTTTTTCCCGTGGCCGAATGAAACAAAGTGAAATAAAAAAAGCGCGCAGGATGCGTGGTAGTTAATCCCCTCCCCACCCCCCCCTTTTTTTTTAATTTTATTTTTTTACTACCGAAGTGTAGTTTCGCAACCGGGGTCGGGGGTGATCGGGCGAAATTTTCGCGAAACGAAAGTGGCGGTTGTGTATTTCCCCCCCCCCCTCCCCCTCCGCCCCTCTTCCGGTGCAACAGGTAGTTCGTGATTGGTCGGAAGTGGAGGAAACATGTTTGGCGATCGAAGGATAGGCCGCTGTAAATAATGAAATTGTTCGCATGAAAAAGCGGTCGGCGTTCGGTCCTCGAATGTTTTTTCAACGTAGATTTATTCGTATCGATCGATACTTCTACCGCCGAACTTCGTTTGCTCTCTTTCTTTCGTAGCGGCGTGGCCAAGGGGGCAGCGATTATTAATTCGAAGATTAAACGGCAGTTCCGGTTAATTGGAACAGGCAGTTAGCGAGTTTCGTGGGGGGGGGGGGAACGATATCGGGACGATACCGTTAATAGGAATCTCTCTCGAAAGTCGATCGGGTCCTCCTCCTCCTCCTTCTCTTCCAGGTTTATCTTAACTGTCGTGTATTATTGATTCAGAATTCTAGTTGAAAGGGAGCCGACGAATTGACGAGGATCGCGCGCCGGTACTCACTGTTATTGAATGATAAATACGTCTCCGATTTGTGCAAATATTAGCATAATAGAATATAGCGCGGACGAGCAGTCGAAAGTTAGTTAGCTAATTGCTTGATTACGTTAATTGTCGTGAAAGTTTCTCGGAAAGGTGTGTATTATTTGCCCGAGCGTTTACACAATATTTGTTCGATGATTCTTTTCTTTTATTTCACATTCAGAATTATACCAAAGGACGAGAGAATTATTATTCAACGAGTATCGCGATCGAGTTGATTATGAACGTTGATCGTGATCTGTTTATCGGTGATCACGCATCCAAATTTTAGCCGAGGATCGATTAATTCCAATATTGTAAAAAGAGTAGGGTTAATTGGTAGAGTTAAATTAATAGATAATAAATGAGATGAGATGATAAAAAGAACCGCAAAGAGTTAATAATAATAGATGATAACTATGTATTTTGATTTGAATTTATCCTACCTCATGTTTACTCAATATTTATTGATGATTATATGTCCAAAATTTCGAGAATTGATTAATCCCAGTGTTATAAAGAGAACCTGGTTAATCTTAAATCCGATAATATACTGATTTTGATACTTTGATCAAGACCCATTTATAAGAGATTTATTTTGTACAATGTTTATCCAACGTCGATTAGCGATTTAGGTACTCGTGTCCACTATGTGTCCGAAATCTATTTTAGAATTGATTAATTCATTACGAAGTATTAATTTCAACAGTGTTAAATTTGATAGACAACAATTGTTTATTTCCAACTAAATAATGCCTGTTTAATTTTCTCCTCAATGATTGCAATAGAATCGTAGCAAAGTCGAAATTTTAACTCGAGTAAGGTGTTCGTTCAAAATCTCACCGCTTGGCAAAGTTAATGTTTTATAATAACAATTTGTCCAACAATTACAAAAAAAATACAGTTAAAGTTGTGAGAGAGAAAAAAAAAAAAAAAGAAGAACACAGTTCTCTATTAAAGAAGCAGAGATTGCAGGAGAAAAAGAGAGAGAGAGAGAGAGATTTAATCGCTCCAATCGAAAGACGATCGACGACACGACTCGGAGATTCAAGAATCAACGAGATCAAGGGATAGAGAATGAAAGACGGCCGCTTAAAGTTGGCGAGGGTGGAATCGACTGACAGTTCGCAACACCCCCCCCCCCCCTCCATGTTCAAACTACTGGTTACTTTCTTTTTTTCTTTTCCCCCCCACTCGCCCCTATTTTATTCGCCGCCTCTGGCTGCTCCGTTTGCAAGAAGTTCGAAAGTTGCCGGAAGGTAGATTCCGTTTCTCTTCTCTTCCCTGGGCAAGAGAAACACCGCGAGAGCCACACGCTCCGCGTCTCGCGGCGTTTTGTGCGCAGCGCCTTAAAAATAGAGCTGACGCGCACCGAGGGTCAATAGAGCGATCTCTCTGGTTCTAGCCAATTGTCCCTCTTTCGAATCGATCGACTCGATCGCGATCGGCAATCTTCCGTGATGAATTTTTGCGAAATTTTTTTCTTTCATCTCTAGACTCTAGCAGTTCGTTGGTACATGACTTTCGTAACGTATTTAAAAGGATTTGCCGAGGTAAATTTATTATTTTTCAGTGTAACGTATTTTGAACAAAAATCTTTTGCAGGTTGTCTTGATTTTTCTAAAAAAAAAAAAAAAAGATTTGCGTTTGTCTCTGGGCAAGTTTGATTCTTTTAATTCTTTTCGAAAGCAGATACAGTAAGTTGGAAGTTCAGTTTGAACAATTGTTAGTCCAATTTGGGATCTCGTCGAGTGTTAATTTCTCTAAAAAAAAAAAAAAAAAAAAAATAATAAAAATCCTGCCCTCAATTTTCGTTTCTCTAACAAAAATTCTGCTTTCAATTTGTGATATTACGAAGCGAAATGTTGTTCGACGAATGTTTTTGAAAATTCTATTTCTGCGATATTTTTTTACATCCAGTGGTATATCCAGAATTCAATTTTTGTAACATTTTTTTGAGAGGGATCTGCCCGAAAGTAAATTGTTTTCAAATGTAACACGTTCGAACGGAATTGTGCAAATTGTTTCTTCGAGTAGGTTTAATTTTCTTTCGATAATTGTATTTTCACAACGTATCTGTTACAACATCGAGGTTAGTCGAATTACTTAACTTTCCTAAGAAGAAAAAAAATGCTTGGTTAGTATCGGACGTCGAAATAAAATTCCAGACAAAATTAATTAAATTTACCAACCTTACCAAGCCTCATTAATTGCCTCGAAAATTATATTCTCGTACTTGACAACTCGACCGTGTTCCTCGACAAATGTAACAAACTCGTTTTCAACTGACTCGAGTCCCCCCGAACATTGCCAAAAGAATAATATTATTATCTATCTCCTTTCATTTCCTTCGGTTGATAAAATGCATAATAAATTTCACCGGTCGTGAAAATTGGGTCATCGTTAATGGAAAAGCAATTTCACGGTCTTTAAATGACGGGGACGAAGGTCACCGGCGAATAAACGCGTCGGATATTTTTCCACGGGTTTACATTCACCGCGTCGGCGGCCGGTGCTCGCTCGCACGAGAGGGAAAAGTGATACGCGTTGCTGTTATTTTTGCCATTTGCGGCCGGTATTAATTCGGTCGGAATTAAACGTTAATAATATTTTAATTAAACAAGCCGAGGGAATTGTAAATGCGCCATTATCAGGCAGCGCGGCGCGGTGTATTGTTGCCGGTTCGGCGGCGGCCACCGCGGAGGATGAAGTTTATCATTGCCAGTATTGTGTAATCCAGTTATTTAACAGTTGCCGCGGCAAAATAAATAACTTTCGGGCTTCCTCCCTTCGGTATTTTAATACCGCGCGGTGGTAATCCACTTTCAGCCGTTCCGCCGGCTCATTTATCGAGCAATTATCGAAACGTCCGGAATTAATTCTCTGAAGTCGTCTCTGCGTCTGTACGTTGATACATGTGAGATACATACGCGGTGAGAGGAAACGAAAAGAGAAATAACGAGCATCTCTTTGACTGGATAATTTAAGGATACGAGTAAGATGGTGGCACGCCAACCATTTGAATTAAATTCGAGACCAGACGATGGTCGGATCGTTGAGGTGAAAAATTTATTCGTAATCCTCTGGTGTTCCCGCGAATGAACTGCGAATGTTGAAAGAAAGTGTACCGAACTCATTTGTATGAAATATGAATTTACACGAATGTTCAAAGAGAATTACCCTTTTCTTTTCTTTTCTTTTCTTTTTTTTTTTAGGGTAAATAAAAATTTCAGATCTGTAACATGGTACGTCGTATGGAAAAGCGCCAATTCGATCTGTCAACTATCATTTTTATCTAATTGTCACTTTGTGATATTCGGAAATTATTTAGATTTCAATTCAAAACACCCTACTTGCCAACTTGATTTGTCGACAGACGTTCAAAATTCACGCCAGCAAACGAGATGATTCACTATATAAAACATAAACCTGACTTCTCAAAATGACATACAAAGAGTATTAAAATATTTCAAAATTTGTCGATGCGACATTAAAGAAAAATAGAAGAAGAAGAAGAAGAAAAGATTTATTATAAATTTCCCTCCAGCCACCAAGCCTTCCCTTTTTTTCTGCTGACTCCGGACTAAAAATTAATTGGCTCGAGCGCTTCTTTAAACTGAAATGTATTCAAAATTGTCGTTTCAGGTTTAGGCCTAGGGCCGCACACGCCCGAGGAAGCAGCGGTTCTGGCGGCCGCGGCGGCTGCGTTGCACCACCATCACCAGGGTGGTCCTGGTGGGCCAGCGATGAGGCCACTCAGGCCTCCGTTGCCCCCGGGTATGTTGCACACCTCGCCGCACCCTCTGGCACCTCATCATCCCCTCGCGGGGCCGCACCATCCCCTCGTGCCTCCTCATCATCCCGAGGAAGACGGCGTGGTGGACGATCCGAAAGTGACTCTCGAGGGCAAGGAACTCTGGGAGAAGTTCCACAAACTCGGCACGGAGATGGTCATCACCAAAAGCGGCCGGTAAGTGTCAATTTTGCTCGGTCACTTCGTCGGGGATTGTCGCGCCACGTTTACCTTCAAATTGTCGAATATTCGGAGTGTTTTGTTGTTTTCGTAGACACTCGAAGTGAGAGTCGAAACGTTGGGATTGACAGATGAGTTGATTCTTGATGAGTTTAACGATCGTTTAACCTCTTGCGCGCGTCGAGAATGTTTCGTCCCAAATTGCAACATTTTCTTTTAAGTATATTTGCCCCAAATTGCAACATTTTTTTTTAAGTATAACCCAGGCAAAACAAATGATAAATTTATTACCTCTCAATAATTTTTATCCAGTGATATTACATACCAGCGTGTTTAAAGAGAAAGCGACAAATTATTGTATACGATTCGGTCACTCGTTATGGTCCGCGAACCAGTTGCCAGCGCAAGGATTTAAGCTACTTCAGACTCTTTGGCTCAACCTAGGTTAGGTCTCTGCACCTTCGTGCCCGTGTGAAAAGGTGTTTTTAAAACAGCGTTCAAGTTTTTTAAACAAATGTTGGATTTGCATTTTATGTCTTAATCACGTTAAATGAATATTTTTCATTTCAATCGACGTTCCGTCACAGCGTCCATCATAAAATCGAAGTCTACAAATTCTACTAGAGGAGAAGCACAAGTCACATTTTTCATTTATCGTGGAACAAATTTTAAAATTCAATTCGAAAATGATTATTCGTTTAAATTCGCGAATTACTTAACCTTTTAGTATTTTATTTAGCTTATTCTCGAGCTGTTGGCACATTTACATGTATATTTCAATATAATTCACTGTCGATGCAATCTTCAACTGTTAAATTTTATTTTCTGTTCAAAATTATTCATTTGTATTGTTTATTCTCAAGCTGTTGGCACATTTACGTGTATATTTCAATATAATTCACTGTCGATGCAATCTTCAACTGTTAAATTTTATTCTCTGTTCAAAATTATTCATTTGTATTGTTTATTCTTAAGCTGTTGGCACATTTACATGTATATTTCAATATAATTCACTGTCGATGCAATCTTCAACTGTTAAATTTTATTTTCTGTTCAAAATTATTCATTTGTATTGTTTATTCTCAAGCTGTTGGCACATTTACATGTATATTTCAATATAATTCACTGTCGATGCAATCTTCAACTGTTAAATTTTATTTTCTGTTCAAAATTATTCATTTGTATTGTTTATTCTCAAGCTGTTGGCACATTTACGTGTATATTTCAATATAATTCACTGTCGATGCAATCTTCAACTGTTAAATTTTATTCTTCGTTCAGAATTATTCACTTGTTTATCCTCAAACTGTTCGTATATTTATGTACAGATTTTAATATTGATCGAATAATCTGATCGTTGTCAGAAAGTCGTTCTTTCCACTCGATTTCAACGCCAGCGCGCGCATTTACGCCGGGGTGTCCCTTCTTCCGAATCAACAGGAATGCGCTTGCCGCGATTTCTTGTCCGACGCTCGTTTAGTCTCGATTTCGAGGGACGAGCCTCGACGGCCCTCACGACGGAAAGGTGTATCGCCGTAAGGCAAGAGCCGTGAGAAAAATGACGGGCTGCCAGGCGAAACACGAGAAGTCGCCCGCGAGAAACCGCAGAAAATCGCGTGGATCGGCTCCTGGCGTGGCTCGTTCGCGAATTCGCGAGCCCGAGGACCAATCTCTCTCTTTCGTCGCCGAATATCTTTCTACGGTGCCGGAAAGACGAGGAAACGATTAATTCGAGAGGGAGATCTCTTAAGACAATTAGGGAAAATCGTGCCTAAAGTTTCGTTTAGACGAACTTGAACTGTTAAAAACTGTTTGCCCGTGCGTTAGTGAGTTATTGTCGTACGAACGGAGAGAGTAACTGGACTGTGTTGGCAAAGGCGAATCGATGGGCATGAATTCTACGACGATGATAATTGTAATTACGCAAACCATACGTACGGACCAAGTTCCACCACGTGTCGTTTATTTTACCCTTGCGTCAGTTGAATAACAAAAGAACGGAGTTGAATGTCAAAGGAAAGAAAAGAACTCGGGGAACGGTTGATTTATATTCACTGATTTATTCACGTATCATTGAAAAGTCTTGACTTGAAAAATCATGCAGATTGCGTCGCAATTAACGAACCGGGCCGCGGTTTACTTGAAACTTTACTCCAATACACGTGTTTCCTCGGCATAGACTGGCCTGCCAACTCGGAAAGTGAAATTCGCCGCGTGGTACGTGTGTCGGAAGAAGAGCCACGAGACACACCACGTTCGCTCTAAACATCAAATCATCGATCGATTGTAAGCTTCCGCGGATACATCGTAGTTAAAAAAAGAGAGAGAGAGAGAGAGAGGGGTTGTCTCTCTCGGTTGTTCAAAGGGAAATCGAACGCATAATTCACGAACCGATGGAACAGCCTCGTCTAGCCTAGAGAGAGAGTAGAAACTTCGAATGAAGCGAGTGCCCCCCTCCCTCCCCTCTCGATCTCAGCGAATCGAGGTGTATGCTTGTCGGGCTATACCTCGGCTTCTCAAACACGTTTCATCGCGTTTTAAAGATTCAAAGCCTCTATGGCCGGCGCACACTTTTCCCCAGTCCTTTCGACGATCGGAAATCCTTTTCAAAGCGCAAACTTTTCACGAAGGGGAGACAAACGGTGAAAGGGGTAGTTTCGAGCGCGATGGAAAACACGGCGACAGATATCTAGGCGAGCTATTATAGTTCGGAAAAGGGCATAACGTTCGTACGTGTGTGTGTGTGTGTGTGTGTGTGGGTGGGTGGGTGTGTTGTACGTGGGTACGTCGTGATTCGAACTGTGACGATAGACTTATACCCCCGTTTGTTATCGTTCACCAGCCTCCACCCCCTCTACTCCCCCTTTCCCACCGTCACGTCGGTCGTAGTTTTCCTTTTTGCCTCGCGACTTTCCATAATTAACGTGCCTTTGAATTTTAAACGCCGCGTTTGAAAATGTACACACGATGCCCGAGTTGAAACAATAGGTGGGAAGAACATATCGGCACTGTTAATTGAAACAACGTCATAATTTCAGCGATCAGTTTCCCCTGTAACGTCAATTCGTCGCGTTTCCGTGGAAATAGTTTCTCGAATTCTCCACGAGAATCTTTCTCTGTGAATCTTTCAAGTGACAGTGACTTTCGACTGAAATCTGATTATTATTAAATCAAATTATTAATAATTATTATATTAATATATCATGGTTTATTAATACATAATCATTATTAAATCTAATTGTTATTAATTTGATTAATAATTATTGTAGTGAATTTCCAGTTGTGAATCTTTGAAGTTAAAACTGGAAGGAAGAAAATATGTGTTCAGTATTCTAATCTTTTGTCAATCTTCTCCTAAAGATTGTGGCAAAAATCTTTCACGCCAAACTTCATATCGAAGACACTTAGATCTCTCTATTTTCTAAACCTAAAGTCTATAAATCTTTGTTGCTTCTCTCGAGTATAAATTTCTTCTCCTTATAGTATAAAATCTTACACTTACAAGTCAAAAAAATTTAGATTCTTCGGTTCTCTAAACATCAGAATCCTTCAGTGATCATTAAACTCTTATATGTTTAAAGGAGTATTAAAAAGATTTTTTATGAAAAATGTCCTCTTTCAGTAATCTCTTGTACGTTCAAAAAGAGGAAATTTATATATATTTGAAAAAATGTCCTCTTCCAGTGATCATTGAACTTTTATATATTTAAACTGAGTATTAAACAGACTTTTGTAAAAGAAGGAATATATATACGCTAAAATAAAATACACTATAGTATATATACACTAAAATAAAAGGGAATATATATACACTAAAATAAAATACACTACAATTAAATACTCTATATATACACTAAAATAAAAGGGAATATAATACACTACACTGAAATATAATACACTAAAATAAAATACACTACAATTAAATACTCTACATATACACTAAAATAAAATACACTACAATTAAATACTCCTTCGAAAGGAGTATTTAAAAAGTCTTTCACTGATCTTTGAATTAAACTCTCGCGTATTAAAAAAATGCCCCCTCTCTCGCAAAAGTCTTTCACACCGGTGAAACTGGAACCCCCCTCGGATTCTCTAAACGCCGAGCCCATCCATCAACTCTCCCCATCAACAACCACTTACTTCGCAACAAACTTCCAAGGACTCGAAAGTCCAACAAGCCAAAAGCCAACCGATTTCACGTCCCGGTGTCCCGGAGAGAAAGCGCGAGTCTCTCTCCCCGGTGTTGCTGAATGGCCCGGCAATTTGTGGCCGATGGTGGTGGGCCAATTTCGCCAGTTTCGATAGCCCGTTTCGTGGTTCCCGGGCGGAGCGAGCTCGGATTCAGCACGAGTTTTTCGCGAACGGGGCCCCCGGGGTAATATCTCGTTTAGAAAGATTACAGGTTCGGTGAACAGGTTGCCAATGTATAAAACAAACATCGTTAAGCGAGCCCTATACTTACGGAGGGGCCAGAGAAAGAGAGAGAAAGAGAGAGAGAGGGGCCCGAGAGCTTTTCTTCTCTCTCTCTCTTTCTTTGACGTGCAGCACCCCGGGGCATTACGTCGGTCCACCGTGTCTCTCTCTCTCTCTTTCTCTCGCGCGCTTATTTACACGCCAGGCTGCGCGTATGATGCGTGCATATGGTTGTGGCCAGAGTGCTGGTCAGGAACGAACTGAGAAGAGAGAGAGAGAGAGAGAGAGAGAGGTGAAAGAGGCGCGCGTGTATTGAGACGTAGACCACCGGACGCAGATTGGGCCAGCCGCAATTTCCGCGCGTGTAATTATCCGTGATCGTCGTCCAGCGTCGTTCAACGTGGAACCTCTTCTCGTTCTTCTCCGATGCATTCTTGCTCTCTTTCTCTTTCTCTCTCTCTCTCTCTCTCTCTCTCTCTCTTTCTGTTCGAGTCGACGCTCGTTCTGATTTACCAGGCGAGGGCAGATTGATTTAGAGCGCGGACCGCCCGTCTGATTACGCCGGTCAACAACTGGGGCAA